GCACTAGCCTTTCTAACATAGGATTTACTTTTTTGTTTTGTTTATTACTGAAATCCCAATATTTCATTTATTGTCAGAATTTCTATTTCATGAGGGCAGCGATTTGAATATATTTCATTCACAGCTGCATCCTCAGAGCCTAGGACGGTGCCTGGCATCGGGCAGGTGCTCAAGAAATCTTTTCTGAAGGAAAGGATGATGTGCACGTGTGCGGGGGTTTCACGAGGGCAGATTCCAAGCCTGGACTTGCTAGGGGATGAAGTTTGCACATCTCTCCTTGGGGTAGATTCGGCCAAATTGTCCTCCCAAGTAGCCACAAGGATGGACAGCCTCACTGGTGGGGTCTGAGGGCACCCACTTTCCTACGCTCGCTACGCGGGAGATGACCACCCTCGTACCCCTCTCCCGGCAGACTTTGACGAGTGCTCAGTGTACGGCACTTGCAGCCAGCTGTGCAGCAACACGGACGGCTCCTTTACATGTGGCTGTGTGGAAGGGTACCTGCTGCAGCCAGACAACCGCTCCTGCAAGGCCAAGAATGGTAGGTGGGGCCCCCTGCGGCCACAGCGATAGACGGCCCCCATGTTGCTCCCTGGCGGGGGCGGCCTGACAGGCCCTAGAGCCCCTTGTCGTATCGCCCCCTCTCTCCTCCATCTACAGAGCCAGTAGACCGGCCCCCCGTGCTGCTGATTGCTAACTCCCAGAACATCCTGGCCACGTACCTGAGTGGGGCCCAAGTGTCTACCATCACGCCCACTAGCACACGGCAGACCACAGCCATGGACTTCAGCTACGCCAACGAGACTGTGTGTTGGGTGCATGTTGGGGACAGCGCTGCCCAGACACAGCTCAAGTGTGCCCGCATGCCTGGCCTGAAGGGCTTCGTGGATGAGCACACCATCAACATCTCCCTCAGTCTGCACCGTGAGTCGCCTGCTCCTAACTTGGAGAGCAGGGGAGGGCAGGGAAGATGGAGCAAGCTGGAGCCTGCCTAGGACAGAGGCAGAGGGTTAGACAGGATGACCCCTGTCTGGGGCAGGAGTCTAAAGAAGAAGCCCTTGACTGAGGCCAAGGCAGGGGGATGCACAAGATGACCCCTGTTGGGGGACAGGGGCAGACTGATGGCTCTGCTTCCTTCCCTCTCTCTGAGCTTAGTCTCTAGATGGCTCCTGAATTTTGGGCCAGGGCCAAGGAAAAATGCTAAGGGGGCAATGAATGGTCAATCTCCAGAGACCCGGGACTGTCCCTTCTTAGAGAGAAGAGTGTTGATTCAACCGCAGAGGGGCTTTCCCATGTAGCAGGAGCCAGGGCAAGGGAAAGAAAAGGCCTGGAGCCCAGGCGGAGCCTTGCTAGGTTGTGGCTGAGGGCAAAGATGCCAGGGTCTGGCTGGATCTATCTCCATGTTCTGTCATTTTCCTCGGGGACATCATCAGAACGGATCCATGGCTGCAGGGTGAGTGTGGGGGTCCTGAGGCTGTTTGGGGGGCTTTGTGACAGTGAATGAGACTAGAGGAGGAACAGAGAGCACTGGGGCCACGGGGACATTTTAAGACCTCTGGGATGTTTCCATTCAAACTCCTTCCCTGGGCTGTACTTTGCTGTCTTAGGGGTGGAAGAAGGGATATACCTAGGGATGGGGCCAGGGCATAGATCCACTGCCAGAGGCAGCCCTGCTCATCTCAGATGCTGTTACATAAACAAACAAACATCTGGCACCGTCACATTTCCAGGAAGCCACACTGCAGAGATGAGGGGGAAGATCTGGCCTTGGTTGATCCGACCCCCGGGAGGGAGGGTAATTTGATCTGTGACCTTGAGTAAATCAGAATTCCCTGTGCCTGCTTTGATTTCCTAATCTGCATCGTGGGTTTGAGCTTGCCTGTCCAGAGCAGATCAATTGAAGTGAAAGCGAGAGGCAACCCATAAGGTTTAGATTGTGAACCCTGGGCCTGCTGGAAGATCTTCGTTCTTCATTGCATCCCCGTGTTATGATCACCACAGAAGACAGATCCCAGGAGGACACATGGGCTTAGTTCTGGACTAGCAGGGGTTCCCCGAGAGCCCTTACCCTCTGCAGCCTCATCACCTCGTCCGCACCTCGGCTCCAGGTCCTCCAGAGCATCCCAGTGGTGTCTCTGGTCTGTTGGTCACCAGGGCTCACTTGGGATCCGACATGTCTTCCTTGGAATGCTGGGCTGGGGGCTGCCATACTTGGTTGGCTGACCTCTCGAGGGGTGGGCAGATCAGGGAACCCAGTGGCAGAGAGGGTAGCATAGGGCGAGACCCCTGAGACAGCTGCCCTCTCCCTGCTCCTTGTTGACGGCCCCACCCAACAGGCCTGTCTGGACAAACGGCTCTGGCAGCTCCCTCCCTGGCCCTGCCTCGGGGCCAGACGATGGGCTCGTGGGCAGGTGGCTGGCGAGGGCGCCCTGATGGGAAACTTCTCGGCTTTTGCTCTGGCCTGGCCCCATCTCCTGCCTTCCTCCAAAGGAGAAGCAGGAAATAAGCTCAGGCGGGTACCCCTCCCTTGGCAAATAGAGCCTTGCCTCCCAGTCTGTTAGATTCATTGGGCCCCTCTGGGGCAGAGTCCAGGAGGCAGGAACAGATCAAGGTTCCGGGGAGAAATGCTGGTGGGGTGGACGAGTGGGTTCCCATTGCCCCAGCCTCTGTGCCTCCTCCCGGCCCCCACCCCACCCCCCATGCCGCCTGAATGTCTGGCTGTCACCCTGAGGATAGTTGTTTTGCTCTCATCCCACAGACTAATTATGGGCCCTGCGATGAGGATGTCGGAAGTGTCTCTCCCTCTCCCCAACACCCTCCCCCATCCCTAGCTCCGCCCCTTCACAGGAGAAGCTGAGTGGCCTGTCCTGGTGTGCGGGTGGCCGGTCCCAGGCACTCACCTGTGCAGTGGGCTGCCGGCCTGTAATTAGCTCCCCAAGGGGGATGAAGAAGAAAGGTTGCTGCTTTCTCCTGCTTTCTCTCTGCCCCCTAGGGGAGCCCTCCCTGCAATCATCCCATTCCTGGCTATGACTGTGACCTCCATTGCACCCCTGGGAGGGAGCCCCATGCAGGAGGGAGGAGTCTGACAACTGAGAGGTGCTGGGGCCCAGAGGCCAAGAGGCAGAGAGAGCCTGCTTGCTGGTGTGGGAAGAAGGGGGAGCCTGCCCCAGAGAAAACTCTGGTAACAGAAATAGAATAGAAAAAAGGAAGGAGGCCAGGAAGTGAGCCTGTTTCACATGGGTCCTAGGGAATGTGTGTGCCAGACCTGCTCGGAGTCCTGAGAGCCCTCAGAGGGCCCCTCCAAGACCCTGCCATGCTCAGTGGTCGGTGCAGCTTCCAGGAGAGGCTCCGTGGAGCCAGCTTGGGATCGAAGCTCCTGCTTTTTCCTGTCTTGATCCCAGCTCCTTCCCTCTGTTTCTACTCAAAAGTTGGGGGACACTCTCTGACCAACTTCTTCACATGATCTGGAAGGGGTGTGTGCGTGTGTGTGTGTGTGTGTGTGTGTGTGTGTGTGTGTACGCGCACATGCGCTTTCCTCCCTTAACTGAGCCCCGGCTGCCAACACTTCTTCTTTCTGTGACTTTCACTGGCCTGGACTGGGGGGACTTGGGGCTGAGTCCTCACCACTTCCCCTCCCTCCTGGGATGTAATCCCAGGGCCCATCCTCCCCTCTGCCGCCGTCCCAGCAGCATGGGGAGGTCTCTGTGGATTCTGATTCTGTGACTGGAGAACATGGTAGTGAGCCAGAAGACCCTTAGGGAGGACTGAGGCTGACCCCTCAGTTTTGTTTTGTGTTTTTTAAAGATTTTATTTATTTGACAGAGACACAGCAAGAGACAGAACATAAGCAGGGGGAGTGGGAGAGGGAGAAGCAGGCTCCCCACTGAGCAGGGAGCCCGATGCGGGGCTCGATGCGGGGCTCGATCCCAGGACCCTGGGATCATGACCTGAGCCGAAGGCAGATGCGTAACGACTGAGCCACCCAGGCGCCCCTGACCCCTCAGTTTTTGATACTGCCTTTCCCAAAGCAGGGATGCCTTGATTTTAAGTGATATGTGGACGTGCACTTTTTTTTTATTGTTACAGTTTTTGTGTAATGCCCATTAGGAAACTCCTATAACTAGCACATCAAATCTATGATTTCATAGATTGCTTAGGATGCAGCAAAATAAGAAACATGAGTTGACTTACAGAAACAGTAGGTAAATGATACATATGTACATAAATGTACATAACCATGGCAAGCATTTAGAAAATGATACACGAAAGACTGAAGTTGTGGAAACTGAGACCCAGAGGGGACAATGGGTCTGGTAGTTCCATAGCCAGGCCTGGCCTGCCCTCTCTGCCTCTCACCTCTGACCACCACCTCTGACCACCGGCTCAGGGAACCTTAGGCTCCGCCCAGCCCCCTGCAGGGCTGCCCCTAGGCGGGACTGGAGGTCAGATCTACTGACCTACCCTCCCCAGTCCCCCACCCCCAGCCTTGCATTGCCTTAGCTGTGCTCCTCTGACCTGTCTTCCCCTGGCTTTGAGGATGTTTTCACCCTAGAAAGAATGAGGGCAGCCTGCAGGAATGGGGCCCTGGGAAGGGGTGTGTGTGGGGAAAGAAGGTTCTGACGCGAGGCCTTTTTAAAGGAAATAAGTTTTGCTAAAGTCACTTAGTTTTGGACTGTGTATTCGGGGATGCTCTGGAAGGGCCCTCCAGGATCCTGGGGTTTCTTCCTTGTACCATGCCGCATGAGGAAAGGAGTGAGGGGGCAGAAAAGGCCCCCTACACTGCAGGCAGCAAGGTTGCGAAATGAGTCCCCAAGTCCAGCTGGCCAGTTTCTCTTATCCCTCCCTCTTTCTTTGTGTGCCTGTGTGTATGTGTGTATGTGTGTGCTTAAAATCACAACAGGAAATGGGTAGTGATGTGTCTAGAGGGAAGGCAGAGAGGGGGGCAGAGAGTAGCCCCTCTGAGTCTGAGATGAACTGACTTCCCTGGCTGGAAGGGGATCCGTCTTCCCACTGAACTGGGCGGCCCAGGCCCTCTCTGCCTCCCACCCTATACATATGGAACCCTTCCAGATTTTATGTATGAAAGCCAGCCAACCCCCCCCCACCCTCTCCCTTGGCCTTCCTCACCCTCAGGGTTTCAGAATCCTGGGGGGCTCTTGCCAGCACAACCTTTGGCCTTGGGCCACCCATGCCCTGGTGCTTTTGCTCCCCGCTCCCACTCCCATCCCGAGTTTCCGAATCATTTCACAGCCCTTCTCTCCTCTCCCTGGCCGAGCCAGCCCCACGTCTCCCGGCTCAGCTCCAGCCTGGCCTCTCCTCCCCCGCTGTCTCCTTGAAGCTGCCTCTCCACCCAGCCTGCTCCCAACACAGCCCCCCTCCCTGTTTTCAAGCCACAGGAAGTAACTTAAGCAAGAGAGATGCATTTTAGAGCCCAGCAAGGATTTCTCAATAGTGGGAAGACCCTGGTTCTGATTCTGAATCAGAGCTGCAGAATCCGAGCCTCTCATCCCCGGGATGAGCCTTTGTGGGCCTGGGCCAGGCAAGGGAAGAAGCGGGGCATACACCCCAGGCCAGAAGTACAAGCAGGGCAGGAAGGGAGCCCAGGAGACAGAGGTGATGTGCTGTGGCTCAGCCCTGGCCTCTCTGGGAGCAAGAGGTGCTGAAGTCAGGAAACAGGGGCATGAGGACGTGCCATTTGGCAGAGCTTCTGCCAGGCCTGCCTGGCAGTCTCTTACCTACTTGCAAAGCCCCCAGACTCCTGATCATCTCCCCTGGGCCTCTCTCTCCCCGCCAGCCCTCAGGGCAAGAGCCCCAAGTGACTCTAAGAAACAGGAGGATTACCAGACAGATGTGTTCTCCCACCGTCTTGGGGCCAGAGAAGGAAGATCCTGGCAGTCGAAGGGAAGGGAAAAAGTGATGTCCCAGCGCTAGGACAACAGAGTGAGGACTCAGTGCTCAACAAATATTTGTTGAATGAATCAGTATATGTGTGTCAGACACTGGGGACAGAGATGAAAGATAGCACCCTGCCCTCACAGTATTTGTAGTCAGGTAAACAGGCTGTGGTAAAAGGAGTGACTGGGGCTTACGGGAGTCAGAAATACAGAAAGCTTTCTTCTGGGGACCTGAGCTGAGTCTTGAAGAATAGGAGGTATTAGCCCCAAACTGCCCACCTGGAGGGCCCACCTTTAGTCAGGAGGCCACGGGGCTCTAGCTGAAGGCACAGATGGTAACTTGTTGGAGAAGGTAGGGAAGAATGGGGTCAAGGTGAGGGGGGACGATGGTACGAACAACAGCTCCCATTTGTGGAGTGTTAATTATGTGCCAGGCCCTGTGCTAAGTGCTATGAATGTACCATACCATTTTGCAGATGAGCAAACTGAGACTCAGACATTAAGTAACTTTCCCATAGTCCCATTTACAGATGAGCAAACTG